CGGCCTCCACCCTGGCCCCCGGGTGCCCCTCCACAGCCACCAGCCTGCTCTGTCCGCTCGTTCCCATTGCTGCGAGCTTATAAGTGACCAGCACCAAGTTCTCATGGCCTCAGTGGAAAGGCTGAGGTTTAGTATGGATGTTGAAATTATGCTACATTATCCCAGTTTTAGTCATTCAGAGTTTCACATAATTTTACAATATCTATTCCTCTTCCTGCGATGCTTTATTTTCCCCCCCCAAAATGCCAGTCATTCATAATGAAGAATAACATCGAGGTTTTTGAATAGTTAGAGATCGCAGACATTCCCGCAACATGGAAAGTAATGATGCTTTGGAGTAAAAGCTGATTTAGAAAAATGAAGAGAGCACCAGCCAAGCCCAGTGGCCAGTGTGAAGTTACTCCAGAACCAGGGCCACATCAGCCTGGCGGTGACCTTCAAAGGGCCGAATGTCATTTCAGGACAGTGTAAATGTAACCACTCCTTCACTAGGGGCAAGGAGCTCAGCACTGCGGCTGGGTAGAAACAAGTTGGAGGGCCGGATTCTGCCCACAGGCCTGTGTTCACCACCTGTGAGCTAGAACGAGTCGCCCCTCACGGGGTGTTTTTGTTTGCGACGCACCTTCCCAGGGCAGGCTGCGGGCTCGCGCAGCTGGGGAAGACGCAGGTGCAGGCCAGGCTCACGCCGCCCGGGCTTGCTCGTGCTTCGCAGGTGTCTCGTTGTTGCAAACGGCAGGCAAGTCTCTGCACCTTCGAGGAGATCGCCACTCACCCCATCTAGAACGCAACGCACAACACCTCTGAGGCAGGCCCATGTTGTTTTTCGTAGCCAAGCAAATGAATGAGTGGTATATAAAGCAGAGCACCTGATACACTGTTAAATCATTTAAATGTCGTAGAAGCAGAGTTCCCTTAAGCAGACCATTTTCAAACCCCCCAAGTCACTTTTCTACCCTCCGCAAAGTAACTCCTTTTGCTCTCCCCTCGATTCTTGCAGCGCAGACAGAATGAAGTGCGGTGTGTGTGCTGCGTGCCCAGGCTGCATTTCCCGGGCAGAGTCCCAGCGTCACCTGCGAGGTCTCGGGTGTGATTTCGCCTCCTTGCCGGCCACTAAGCCAGCCTGTTAGAGTTTCCCGGTGCTGCAAGGAGACAGGAGACTCCTGGGTCAGAGACGAGGGACTTGACCGACCGGGGCCGGGCGAGAGCACGGCCATCAGCACCTGGTGTCACTTCGTCTTCTTCAGACTCTAGCGGTGACACGGTGGGGCTGAGGAACAGGAACACCAAGCTTGGTGGCCCACTGCTTTTATCTTTTTGTTTTGTTTTTGCCAACAATCAGCTAGCAACCTCGGTCTTTGTCCCTGAATGAGATTTAACTACCTCCCCAAGGCTGCTTGTTCCACATGCGACTTTGAGAGATGGCCCAGTGCCAGGAGCATCAGGGCCTTGAATGGCAACACACCCAGAAAGACAGGAGCCCTGGAGACCCAGGGAGGGCCACCCGCCCGACACAGCCGGGGGGTTTCACCCTCACACTGGCCGCCCTGCTGGCCTCGGCAGAGTCCACGGCGTGGTTTTGCTCCTGACAGCTCTCAAGCTCCCCTGCGGTTGGACCACGTGGGAATTAACCGCTGGGACCAGGGGAATGCCCTTGACTCCGGTCTCAGTTTGGTACCCATCCCTGACTCATCTCTGTGTTGAGGAGAGAAGGTGACTCCGACCGACCTGGTTACAAAGCCAAGTCACCCTCACTGCCCGACAGCAGCTGCGGCCCCCTGGGGGCGGGGTGCCGGCTGGAAAGGCAGCCTGCCTGCTTCACAGGGTGGCACAGCCAGGGATCTCACTCTGCTTACAGACTCGCCAAGTCAGAAGCCCCGGGAGAGAGGGAGAGAAATTGTACCTCTTGGGCTGTCCTTGCTGCACCTTCTTCCTGGGGCGTCCTAGCCACCATTTACCCCGCCTGTACCAACTGAGCCCCGGTTAGATGTCGGGAACGTGGGAGATGGGCACACGCTGCTGAGCGAGTCAGAAACGGCCCCTCGTCCGCCGGGGCTGGCGGTTCAGACAGGCTACGAGACCACCGACCGGGGCAGGGTGGGCGAGGCCACGTGTGGAAGGGGCCCCGACACAGACAGGTCAGGAAGGGCTCCCTGCAGAGGGTGGTCTCTGCCTGGAGGCGGAGGGTGCGAGGGGGCCTCAGGTGGTCTGCGTGTGGCCTGGGAGAAGGAAAGCCCCAGCAGCTGCAGCTTTTTTGCAAATTAGGGAAAAGCTGAAGGTGGCTCCGTGTGAGTGAAAGGGTTCAAGGTGAGAGCGGAGGTGGGCGAAGACGTGAGGAGTGAGTGGGAGGCGGGAAGTGTCTGCTCTGGAAAGGGGGCTGCTGTCCTGAGGCCCAGGAAGATGCCACGCAGAGGAAAATGGGACAGAAGCTGCTCTTCAGCAACGTCACCCCTGTGGCGTCCAGAGTGACCGGGGGTGGGAATAAGGCCAAGACAGACGAATGGGGGGGGTGCTGGAGTCCTGAGGGACAGAGGTGGCCGCAGCAGTGGGACGGGACAGGGTGGGGTGATGAGCAGCTCCCTGGCGTGCTGGTGTCCAGGGCGATAGGACGCGAGGGGTGAGCACAGGACGTGTGTGAGCCCGGAGGCCGGGGCACAGGGCCGAGAACACGCACTGGGCATTCGGTCGGGCCGCAGTCGCGTCCCGGGGCCCCCAGGGGTGAGGGTTGTGCCCACAGCCAGTAAGAGGGCAGCGCTCACAACTACCCGGCACGGTTGCGGCAGGGCCGGTGGAGTGGCAGGTGTCGGGGGTCCCGCCAGAGCAGACCTTCAGCCAGCCTCAGCGACTTCGGAGGCCCTGGGGCTCCGTCCGAGGGAGCCAGCCGGCTGGGGAGCTGCTCATCGGGTGCAGCTGGTTAAGTGTCGGCTCGAGGATGGCGAACCGGCCGACAGCAGGGGAAGCCCCAGTGACTTCTCTTGCAGGGCTGTCGGCACTGATTCAGTCAGGACTGGGGCTTCACAGTTGTCTCCCGCTGCCTCTCATGGTCACAAGGAGGCTGCCCCAGTCCCAGCCTTCAGCACCACATTAAACCTAAGTCAGGGTCTCAGGGAACCAACCAGACATAAAGGAAAGGTAATGACCTAGCCCATCATCCTGAGATGGGGAACCCGGGAGAAGACGCAGAATTGGGGGGGGGGGGATAATGAACTTGGTTTTGAATATATCAAGTTCTAGGTTCTGTGACGTAGCCCCAAAGAAACAGGTGGCCCAGAGTTAAGGAAAGATGTCTGAGCTCGCGGGGAGGGGGGGTCAAGTTGTCCGGGGTGCACGAGAGAACCCGTAGAGAGGGAGCCGTGGGCCCTGGCCCAGAGCAGCAGCCAGCGGGTGCGGAGAGGCTGCCCCTCACCCTGCTTCCGCCTGCCACGGGGAGCAGGGTCACGTGGCCTCACTGGGGGCTCTTCCCGCTGTGGGCCACGTGTGGGGGCTGGGTGGAGACTGGTTGAGGAGCAGCAGAGACCTGAGAAAGGGGAGAGAAACAATCTAAAAAGTCCTTTTTCTTTACTTTTGTTCCTAGAGTTCCTATTTTAGGGTGCCACTTGTAAAAGGCTTTTTTTAAAGAGTTTGGTAAAGTCAGTTCAGCTTTCTGAAGAGACTCAGGCTTCTTCAGTGTTTGGTTTTCGTGACCTTCAAAGGGACTGTGGTGGCATCTCTCCCGCCCTCCCCTCCCCACCCCTCCCCCTCCTCCTCGCCCCCCTTCCCACCCAGCCTTGGTGAGCACAGCCCTCACTGGGCCTCCTGGCTTCGGGGCGGAGCGGGCTGTGCGCGTGCCCGAGCTCATGGGAAAGGGCTTCCGGTAGAAGGTGGCCGTCCCGTCCCTGGGACCGCAGCCCTGGGGAGCGCGGGCTCAGGTTCCCAGGCTCTGCGGCTGAGTGTGTCTTCATGTGGATGAGTGCGACAGAGAAGAAAAGCGCTCCATTTGCGTAATCTTGGTAGATTTAAAACATTCAGATATTTTGGATCACACATAAAGTCGGCCTTTACGTTGGACCGTCCAGATTCAGAACACGAGTGAGATATTATGAAAATAGGAAACCTGCCTGGCTCAGGTGATCGGGCGCCAGCCTGTGACCCGAGGTGTCCCGGTTCGATTCCCAGTCAGGGCACGGGCCTGGGCTGCAGCCGGGTCCGTGGGTGGCACACAAAGGGTGATCACACACTGAGGTTTCTCTCCCTCTCTTTCTCCCTCCCTTCGCTGCTCTCTAAAGAATAAGTAAAATCTTAGCAACAAAAAAGAAAATAAACCTGTAGTTGACATTCCTTCTCAGGCTGCTTGACTATTCCATTCAGGTTCAAGAAGTGTCTTAAGTGAACTGCTTGTTTAAACGCAAAACACTCTGAACCGCACACTAGGTGGGGTGAGGAGAACGCTTTTCCGGGAGGGAACCCTCCCTCCTCCAGCCGTATGTACCCGGGCAGGTCGCGCGCTACCTGGACCTTACTGGGTGTGTATAGGATACAGTTCAGAAGACTGCCGTTCGGAATAGGCGGTTCTCTAAAGAGAATAAATGCCCCGCCTTCTTTTATTTCCTCTTCTTCAGGGCTTGTTGCCCAGGCTGCAGACAGCAAAGCTTGGAGAAGTAATGGTTAAACCACCTCCGTCGCTCCTTTGGCGTGTTCCAGCGTCGGAGTGGTGATTCTCTCCGCACACACGTACGGGAGGGACGCTGATGATCCAGGGGCCGGGCGCGCAGAGCTCCCGGGGTGGGACGTCGCTGGAGGCCTGGAGGCTAACACCTCCCCATGGCCTCTGCGACTTCAGTTATTAAGCGCCAGTGCTGCAGTCCAGTTTCTGTGAAGTGCCGGGAGGGATTCCTCCCGTTGGGGTTAGAGACCGCCGGCTCCCGGTCTGATCTTGCCCCGCACCGGCTTGTCTCTTGCGCGCGCGCCCCCCCTCCCCCGCCTGCCCCTCGCCGCAGGGGGGCCGAGCGAAGGCGCGTGACGCAGGAGTGGGCTGGGTCCCCCCTGCGCGCCCTCGGTGGGGCCCATTAGCGCGGCACCCGCGCAGCGCAGGCTCCTCTGGGTCCCCTCCGACCTGCGGACGCTCAGAGCGTCCCTGCCGCCTGCTGTGGGCTCCACTCTCTTCCAGCCCTGCGCGCTGCCCGCCGCAGGGACAGGATGGGCACGGGGGAATTCATCTGCGTTTCCATGAGCGGAGGGGCGCCCTGGGGCTTCAGACTGCAAGGCGGCAGGGAGCAGAAGCAGCCCCTGCGGGTGGCCAAGGTAGGGTCCCCAGAGACTTCCGTCGCCCCACTGGGGGGAGGGGGGCAGGGAGTGAAGCAACCTGTCTGTCCATGGTGTTGATTCCCGAGTCTGTGGATTAGCTCAGTTTTGGTGCTGTCGTTGAATTTTGCTTAGGAAGTTGGGCTTGCTTGTTTGCTTAAAGGAAACTTTGGATATAAAAAATAAGAGTATGTCCATATTTAACCAATACTTGATGGGGAAAATGCCTCACACTTATCAGCTGAAGAGAAGCCTAGTTAATCAGCTTCTCTGACAACCCGAAGAACCCTGGGCAGCGTCTTGCCCGCCACATAGAAATCCCAGCTGGGCGATTGATCCCTCCAGGGCAGGGCCCCTGCTGGGCTGCTCTGTGGGGTCTCAGGAGGTGCTGGGACTGGCATTTCCCGGGCAGCGTTCATGGGAAGGCCGACTTGGGGCAGCGACTTTTAAAGTGCGATGAAGCCACAAAGTCTGATTGAAAAGAATATTCATTCAGGGTTTGACAAATAAGGGCAAAAATCCAAGCGCTCTGTTCCATCCATGCGATGCGTATGCATCTGGGTAAGTGCTCAGAATACATTCAGAGACACTCAAAATCTGTTTAAAGGAGACTCAGGCAACTTTGAAACACCCTGAACAGTGCTTTTCGGTGCCCAGGGGTCTCGGCTGCTGTTGGCTCGCTTGCTGCTCAGCTTGAGAAGCTGCCAGTTTGCTGGAGGGGGTCTGCTTAAGATCCCGCTGCGAGACCAGGCTGAAACGAATCTTAAAGTGCGTGAGGATAAGCAGGCTTTTATCTGAGGTTAGCGCTCAACCCTGGTGTCCTGTGCAAGAGCGGGTTTGATTCATTTCTGGGTTTATATTTACGCTAAATGGACCTAGATCTTCACAAAATACGTGACCCGTGGGCTTTGTAGTTATTCTTCACCCTTGACTTTAAAAAAAATGTACCCTGTGGGGAAAGGGGGTTTCTCTGAAGTGGCCTGCCGCCAGGCTTCCGTCAGACGGCCCCTTCTTACCGGGACGGCAGAACCCTGCCACCTAGCGAAAATTCAGACTCCAGTCTACCCTCGCATACAGCAGGAGAGGAAAGGCAGGATTTTTAGAACCAAACGTTTCTCAGAGAGCTCCAGTCTACCCTCGTTTTAGGCGGGAAGTGCTCCAGAGAGGTCAGGCAGCTCCAGCAGGGAGACGCGGGGGTGCGGAAGCCGTGCCTTTGTCCTTCTCCAGGGCACGGTGGCAGACAGCCTCCCGCCCAGCGGTAACGCCCAGTTCAGCAGCCGAGCAGCGTGAGCCTGGGCTTGTCCGGGTCTGGAGTAGCAGTCAGCTGGCTCCAGGGACGGAGATCTCGTCCCAGCTCTGATGTAGCTGCCTCGGGCCTGGGCCGCATCTCCCCCCTTCCTGACTCGTGTGTGTGTGTGTGTGTGTGTGTGTGTGTGTTTGAGAGAGTGGGGGAGAGAGGGCGCTACGTCGTCTGCTGTTTGGCAGACGTAAAACACGACTGGAGAGCCTTCTAAAGAAGATGGAGTGTCCAAAGTCCCATGGCAACCCCACTTCTTTCTAAAATTGTATTTCATTGCTCATGCTCTTACGGGTGTCCCCACCCAGCACCCCCACTCCCTCGAGCAGTCCCCCACCATCGTTCACGTGCGTGGGTCGTGTGTAGGTTGTTTGGCTGCTCCCTTCCCTGAGCTGTGCTTCACGTCCCCAGAGCTGTTCTGGGACCCCTGCGTGTACTTCTTTGTCCCCTCACCTCTCGTTCCCTCCCACCCCCCCATCCTGCAGCCATCAAAACGCTGTCCACATCCATGACTCTGTCTCTGTTCTTGCTGGCTTAGTTTGTTCTTTAGATTCAGTTGTTGGTAGACATGTATTTTTGCAATTTTATTGTTCATGGTTTTGATCTTATTTTTCTTAAATCCCTTTAACATTTCATATAATAATGGTTTCGTGATGATGAACTCCTTTAGTTTTTTCTTGTCTGGGAAGATATCTGCCCTTCAATTCTAAGTTATATCTTTTCTGGGTAGAGCAATCTTGGCTGTAGGTCCCTGCTTTTCATGACTTTGCATATTTCTTGCCAGTCCCTTCATGCCTGCAAAGTTTCTTTCGAGAAATCAGCCGACAGTCTTATGGAAACTCCCTGGCAGGTAACTAACTTCTTTTCACTTGCTGCTTTTAAGGTTCTCTCTTTATCTTTAACCACTGGCATTTTAATTATGATGCGTCTTGGAGGGGCCTCTTTGCATCCGTCTTGTTTGGAACTCTGTGCTTTCTGGACTTCACGTCTGTTTCCTTCAACAAGCCAGGGACGTTTTCTTTATTATTTTTTCAGAGAGATTTCCAGTTTCTCGCTCTTTCTTGCACCCCTATGATATGATATGAATGTCGGGCCCCTTGAACTTGTCCCACAGGCTGCTGACACTGTCCTCATTTTTTTATTCTTTTTTTTTTCTTGTTCTGATTGCTTGTTTTTGCTTCCTTATGTTCCAAATCATTGATTTGATTCTCACCTCACCCACCCTCCTGTTGTTTCCCTGTCAATTGTTCTTTATTTCACTTAGTGTGTCCTTTATTTCATGCTTTCAAGGTCCTCACCGAGTTCTGTGAGCCTCATTATAACCAGTGTTATGAATCTTTTTGTCTGTTCCCTCCTTGTTTCAAACCTAGAATATTTAATTCTTTATACTAGCATAACCTCGTTGTAGAAACCCTTGGAGTAAAGTGTTTGTCACTCTGTGTCATCAAGGTGCAGCCTCCCCCGGGTCATTGTTTTTCACTTAAAACATTGCATCCACTTGGTTCCATTGATGGTTTCCTGCTGAGTTCAAGGCCGCTCAGGCACAGACTCGCCGCCCTCCCTGGGACTGGCGGTAACTGACCAGGCCAGGTCACCTCCACCTGGAGGGGAGGGTTACTGGCAAACAAAATGCTCATAGTTCTGAAGAACCTGCAAACAATTCACAGGGAATTGAAAAAAATATATTTCCAAAGAAAAGCAAATTCCAGACGGCACTTGAATCTGCCCCTTCAACAGTGAACGCTATCAGGTTCTCTAGGTAACAGCTTGGCTTATTGTGAAATGCCTAGAGTTTAGATTTCCATAATTCTGTGCAGAATGAGGACCTGACAAGCTGAAATAGCAAAAGAAAAACTGTTATTGCAAATGATTAGAAACTGAATAGCTGTAAATGTCCAATAAATATCTTTGTAGTGACATGTGTGTTTACTACTGAGAGGTGTTCAGACGTTTTTACTGTTAGGCTGGCTGACCAACCTGTAGGCAAACCCCAACTTTTAAAGATCACAAACAAATCTTAATAACTTGAATTGACTTTGAGACTCAAGGCCATAAAATTCTGGGTTTTTTTTCTAAGCATAAATTGAATGTTAAAAAGGCCCAACTAATCAGTAATCTTACCCTGGTTTTAAAATGTTTATTCGTCTTTTAATTTGTGCTCTAAATTCACGTGACGGGAGGCAAATGTTTTCACAGAGGAGTGACAGGACGTCACTCTGCAGAGTGGGTCACCCAGCAACGCCGCGTGCGTGCATGTGTGTATGTGTGTGTAGACACCCTCATGGGCGCGTGCCAGCGTTTTTTCCGTCACAGACTCTCTTTGGGAACATGTGCTTACATGGCTCTGTCTCCGGACGTGCTCTTGGCCAGTGTCTGTGAAAAACCTTTCTGTAAAGAAGTGGGGAGGATGTCTGTTCCGCACAGATCTCTGAACAATTTAGAAATAGCTCGCGTTTTGAAAATAATGAATAAAGAAGCATGTGGACTGTTTGTCCTTGACGTGCTTCCACATGTGGAAGTGCAAGTTTGCAGCCGCAGTTCCACAGCCCTCTGGTTCTCATTCTTCTACATTTTCACCCAGAGTTTCAAACAATCGCTTCTTACTATTGAAATAACAAAGTACAGTCACGCATAGTGTGAGACAGAAGTAAGATTCCTGTCAATTGCTGCATATTCTCCCTTTAAAACTTTGAGTAAAAATGTGTTATTTAGGCAAAGCACATTCAGATAGCATAATTCCTACCCCTCGGTGTCATCAGTGAGGTTTCTAAAATGTGTCACGTAACACAACTCCAGAAACGTTTTCCGAAGGGAAAGGCTCTCGGTGGGTTTGACCGTGTGTTGGAGGATGAGTGCGTCTCACCGCAGATGCAGAGAGCCAGCACCTTTACTGGAAAATGTTACAGGTCACTTGGCTTTGCACTCTGGCTGGGCACGAACTCGCGGAAAACCCTCAGCACAGGTGCGCCGGTCTGCGCTCAGGTGCTGAGTCACAGAGCAGACGCCCCGCACAGCCTGTCTCTTGGGCTTTCAGACAGCTCACTGGTGAGCGGCAGTGGGAGGGACCCACGGTGTGCACTTGGCCGTTACCTGGACATGCACAACGGCTTCATCGGGCCCCAGTCGGGCCTGGCACATGTGCCAAGTTCTCTGCAGGTATTACCTCTGCAAAGGACCCCCCAGGCCTAAGCAGTGTGACAAAAGCCATCCCGACTTTAGAGACGAGGAAACCCAGGCACCGAAGTGCGGGTACCTGCTGAGGGTCGCACGGCAGTGGATCTGGGTCTGGTTGCAGAGCTGACTTCCCCACCGTGATGGGGAAACAGTGCCCAGAGGGTCGGGCAGGTAAGGGTGGTCCTGGGAAGGGAGTTTACAAAAAGCATCTCGGCCTTCGCCCAAACCGATTTCATCAGCCGGGGGCCCTGGACCTCCGAAGGTTGCTGACCCGTGGTCAGGGCGGGGACGCTGCTGCAGAGAGCGGAGGCCAGACACGTCCCCCAGGCCGTCCGACTGTGCAGGGCCCTGCTGCACCTGTTCCGGGGACAAGGGCAGGACCCAGGGAGGGGAGCCGGGCCCAGCCCTCCAGTGCAAATGGGCCGTAGTGAGTGCTGGTGGGACTTCCCCCTTCTGAAGCTAAGCCAGGTGGGGGGACAGGGGTGGGTGCTAGGACACTCAGGAATGGTCATCGTGAAGCCAGGATTGT